GGTCACCTGAGTGTGTTCTCCCTGCTGTCCCAGCGCTCTCTTCGCTGGCAGCTGATCTCCATAGTCGTCATGATGATGGGCCAGCAGCTGTCGGGTGTCAATGCGGTGAGACGCGCCCGTTGTCCTCGTCCCTCTCACCATTACTCAGTTTCAGGATGCATGACAACATCCATGTTCTTGCTTATTCACAGGCTGTCGTGTTATAACCATGATGCATTTCTCTCTTTTCTCTCAGATCTACTACTATGCCGACAGCATATACGGCTCTGCAGGAGTCAGGGAGAGTGACATCCAGTATGTCACAGTGGGAACGGGAGCAGTGAATGTCTTTATGAGTGTAACTGCTGTAGGTACCCAGCAAAGCTAAGGGGAGGAGCTGTTTGTGTGTCTGCTGTTTGATCATGTGAGATGGAGATAACCACTTTGAACGGGGGTTTTGTAATCGCAGGTGTTCATCGTGGAAGCCTCAGGTCGCCGCCTGCTCCTCCTCTGTGGTTTTGGGATCTGCTGCGGAGCCTGTGTGCTGCTCACTGTCGCACTCAACTTGCAGGTATCTTACAGACCTGTCAGCGCTACTTATGCCTGCAACCTGCCACTCTGCTGCCCTCTAGTGGTTCAGTTATTAGTTTCCCAACCTGGAAAGAATCAGAGGAGATTTGCAAGACCCTGTTTACGATCTCAGGATCAGAGAGTAACGCCGCATGAGATTTAATTGCAGCTATAGACAGGCCTTTAAATACTTCATCTTTATCTGTTTCATTTTAATTTTGTGCTGTCACCTGCATTTTGTCCCCATTGGGTTTCAGCTCTATTGAATAATTAATCAATGAAGAGCACATTATGAAGGTGTTACTCATGGTTTTAACTGCAATAAAAATAGAGGCACTGCTGCTGTTGAGACCATGATTATGGCTTTTCCCTCCTCTCATCTTTCATCCATTTAAATCAAAATGGGTGGACTTTTATCAGAATGTGGTGGCGCAAAGGAGGATAACCAGTAAAGGTGACTAAAGGGTGTTGACAACGCCACCTGGGGAGGGAGTTACACCCCAGGAGAGATTTCTATAGCCAATGCAAATGCCTTACTAGTTACAGAAGCTCATTTTTAGCAAGCAGAGGTGAGGCAGAACAATTTTACAATCAAAATTTATTAGGAAAAACTAGTAAAAGCATAGACCTGTAAAATAAGAGAACTTCTTAAGGTTAATTAAAACACTTTATTAACAAACAATGATTAAAAAGACAAGGCTCACTGCTACGGTGCTACTCTAGCAGTTTGGTAAAATAACTGAACAAAATAGTGGAGACCGGCAACTTGAGGAGGCAACCTACAGAGAGGAGTGACCAAGGGTGCCATCAATTACTCACCCGTGTAGTTTCACTGCAAACCTCACTGTCACTCTCACTGCAATCTAAATGGTCCAATCTACCTATTTCCCAGTGTGTACACTCTCATGTATCAGGAGGGAGTCCACCTCACGTGCCTAGCCCCACAACAAGCGGCTGTACCGCCATTAAGGCAAAAAAAACCAACAAAACGTAAAAGAGATATAAACAAAACAAGAACACCCTAAGATACAATTCTTTATAAAAGCATGATCAAAATACAAACAATTCAGAGTAAAAAAGACCATAAAACAAGGAGCCAGTCCATAAAACAACTACAAGCCTACAACAGTGTGGCACGATCCACTTTTTAAAGGGCAATACTAAAATGAGCAGCTTTCCTGAAGAAATAAAACCGCTCTGCAGTGCTTAGCCGCCTAACGCTCTTGGCCATCTTGGACGGAGAAAGAATGCCAAATGGCTCTTTCCTTTAACGTCCTCTAATTATTGGCTGGGAAGGGTGTGGATGTTAGCGCTGCATTACCCAAAATATACTTCACAACAAAAGCATCACAAAAACATCACCTCAGTGTTGGTCTAGCGTCCCAGTTTGAACCTG